AAATTCTTCTTGGTCACAGGACAGGTAATATAGATGGTCCTGTAAAAACTGACCAGGTCTCTTCGAAGCTTTGACATATGATGCAGATTTTGAAGGTGTTCTTTGCCTCCTTGAGCTGTGAGCTGGTTTGGAGCCTGCCCCAGCACAGCTTACTCCAGCAAAGTGGCAAGTGTCTGCACCAGCTCCAGGCACTTTTTTTGTCTCAGATGTGCATGGTCCTGCATGACTGCCCAGTGATAGCATATTTTCACATGTGATCAATAACTGTTAAGTATTTTATTGTGTGACAGGAGAAAAAAAAATAAACTAGTTTTTTATAGTACAGGGGTTTGATTTATACCTGGCCCTCAAGGCCAGCATGTCCAGTCGTTTTGTATTTAGAGGAAGGTCTGTGAGTTCTGTTGTCGCTCAGTGTGTGCATATGCATATCTCTCGTTTGTTTTGCTGTGTGTTTAAGGTACCAAGCTTTGCTGGGGAAGAACATGAGAATATGTTCTCAGTACAAGACGACAGCAAATCCCTCCACGCTGGGGAGAAAATCAGTTGTGTCAGATGAACTGAAACTGTGAACATTTGCCATTGAGGGCTTGATTGCATATGGTCCATCCATCTGTGTGGTATTTATAGGGCTTTCTTGATACAGAAATCATACAATGAATAACTTTTCCTGAGTTAAGAGCATTTTCTTGTTGTGAGGAGATGCTCTGCATGTTGCAATGAACACCTTTCACAGATAAATGGAAGCTCTTACTGTGAGCCTTTGTGAACTGATTAGGGTTTTCTTTACCTTTCTTTACTAAGCCTCTACAAAAGGAGCCATCTTAGTGGCACTGTATTTCTACAGGCATGTAGGGGGTGATGCTGGAGCAGTGCCTTCCTGCATGGTATGGGCTCTTTCCTTTGGGTTGGGTGTCTCGAGTTAGATCCCTCAGCCATGCAAAGTCTGCATGCCCTTGCTGTCTGCAGAGCTGATGCACATCAGGCCTCTGATGTTTGTGTTTCTGCTGATTTATATGCGCATTATCTCTTTGAAAGCAGATTTGAAATTGGTCTGGTATTGGCTTTTTGCAGATTGCAAAAATGAACAGTCATACCACCTAATCCTGGCTGTTGACAGGGGCACCCCTTCCAGGGTCAGTCTGAAACTATGCAAGTTGGTTCCTAATGGCCTTGTAACGTATTCTAGTTTTACACAGACAATGTACTGGTGTATTAGAGTTTTGCCTTGGTCAATATTGTAGCCATAGTCTTTCACCTCCTGCCTTTAGTATTCAGGATAGAGATCTGTACCTGAAAAATTACATGAGAATTTGACCTAGATTTTCTAAACTGGGCAAACCCAAATGCAAATTTATGCTTAAACGCACTTAACTTAGAAGCAAATATACATGACAGATGCAAGTGAAAAAAGTGTGGAGAGAGGCAGTCTGCAGGTATGTAAACTACCTGGGGTCTGGCTGAGCAGGTGTGTGTTGGACTTGCAAAGCCTTTGAGAGTGTTAACAGGCTGTCGTTAAAATCCATTTGTCATTACAGAGGGCTGTAAAGTTCTTCCAAATTCTCTGCATTTGTGCTAGGTACAGTGAGCGGCAGCTGCTTTTGGGTCTGTAGTAGGTGACAACATCAATTTGTTCCATGATCTTCTCAGTAGATCGCGAAGACTCTACCTCCATCTCCACAGGAACCCAGGCTTTCTCTCCTGAGATAGATGGGACTTCAGATTCAATCAAGCTCACAATGCCTGAGCCCCAGACGCTAAATCACCATGGATTTAGTGGCTAATATACCAAAGAGCATACATTTTGTGTGACAGATTTTAATAAAACACACTAAAGGTGTGGAGTTCGGCAAATTAAAACCTGTGCGTTCAACAAGGAGCAGAATTTGGAGCAGAATTCAAACTCTCTCATTACATGCAATGGCTCTGAGCTTAAAATGTTATTTTTGCATTAATATTATATTATTATTTTTAGCATCAATGGCAATCAGTATGTAATTGGCAATGATCTCATGCACACTCCTGAGTACAGACTGTTCTTTCCCAGTTTGGGAGTATTTGCTTGTTACTGCTGAATTGCAGCATGTGCACAGGCAGAAGAGGCCCCAGAGTCATTAAAACTCTCCCTGCCAGGGCTCTTACCATTGAGTACTCAGCAGTTAACCTCTCCATGTACCTTCTGAGAACCAGATAAAGTTAGGACTGAAAATTTCTGTTTCTTGAAATCCTTTTCTTAGGCCTGAGTTCTGTGGTAGATATCCACAGTGTCACAATTGAGCTTTGGAATATGGTGCTACAAAGTGATGAAAAGCCTCCAAAGGTTTCTTTATAAAGGCTGTAAACAGAGTTGGCTTTTAAAATGTAGGAAAAAATACTTTGACCTGATCCTGCACTTGTCTGTAAGAGTGGAATGGCTTTCATTGGTGTCCGGAGCAGGAGTGGGTCATTACTGAGCTACAAACATGACCTCCCGTGGGAAGGGTGCACCATTTTCACTGTTAGTCCCAAAGGGAGGCCGTGTCACTCCAGGGCTGTCAGAGAAGCACATGTAGGATCACACAGAATAGGAGTGTTTTGCCAGCAGTGTAGCGGAAGCACAGCTGAAATACGTGCTCTTGGGTCGTATGTGTTGTGTTTGAGACCTATAATATTGGGTAATTTTTATAGGGTAG